ACAATAATCAGACGGCACAGACGTTACAGGCGCTTCGAGCCGCTTCAGTCAATCGCGGGAGAAGGAATAGTAACAAAAAAAATACAAAAAAATTATAAAAAATTAAAAGACTAAAAGATTTTATTCTAATTTGACCTCTGGTGATAAAAAAAATGCGTACACGAACCACTGAACAATATGAACGAGATTGGTGTATGCAGATGTTTCGCACGCAACAGTTCGCAATTTTTAGCGGAAGTGCCACACGGAACTCACTTTTCGTAGCGGTAATACTCGGCTATCCTGTCAGTACAATAGGTTTCGGTGGGCGAGGACCCTGCTTCTAAGAAGGACTCTCGTCTCTACGCTCGGGTACCGGGCTCTAACTCGGCACTTGATGTCTGCAGTCAACTGAAGGCACAACTCCACTGATCAAAACTTCGAACGACTAGCTATGATGCTAACCCGAAAACTAAGCGATAATAACTGAACTATGACAATTGGTACGAAGTCGGAACTAAGCGATTTTCCGTCTTTGGTGTGCTCTTTTATACTATTAGAAGTGGTGGTGCTGAGCGGAAAAGGGGGTTGACCTGTCAACAGTTACCGGAATCGTTTGAATTGTTCTAGAACTTTCGATCCGATAAGATTTTATTAGATTTTACCGTTTTAAAGGGCGAAATTGCCGAATCTAAATGTTGACAGGGCCCTCTTTGTCGCTCCGCCCCTGTGCTGCATACTGTTCAGCCGCTGTGCGCGTTTATTTGCGTTACATTCCGCCGAATGATGTTTTCTTTTTTTTATGCATATAGTTTGAGTGTAGAGCGTTTGTGCGTTATTCGTATCGCAAGTTTCTAACGGATCCCGCAGGTTTTGTTATAAGTTTTTGATGCACTTGTAGATGCGATACAGCTACGTATTCTCGATCATGAGCGCAGTGTTAGCCGCTTTCTGAATCGGCGCAGTCAAAATTGCAGTTGCAATTACAGAATTTAAATGAAGTAATTTTATTGATCATTTCATTATACTGCGATAGGTCGAGAATAGTAGAGAGCCTCTTACTTCCCTATGGTTTATCATTCAGTGTTATGGGGTGTTAATTCATCTCGCTATTAATTTAAACGGTTTTTCACGCGATTAATTATTTTAGATCGCGCAAGCGCAGTACGGTTCAGTAACAGCTGTTCTGATCACGCGCTAACCGCGTGATCACGATTCGCGAGGATTTCGCGGTTGTCGCGACAGTTCGCGTTGCCACGGCAACGCGTCTAGCGTCGTTAAGCAGTGACGTTCGCCTGCGCGCAAATTTCGGCGGACGTTACAGTGTCATCTTAAAATTACTCTCTTCAAAGCTTGTGTTCAAAGTGATTACCGTCAACTTCTTAACAAAACGCCATCCGATCGTAAAAATTTGATACTGCCCTCTCAATCATGTCTTGTTCAATGGCAGTGATTTCATCGCGTATTCGCTGTTTAAGTTCCTCAATATTCGCCGGTTTTGTCCGATACACTCTATCTTTGTGATAGCCCCATAAGAAGTAGTCAAGTGGCGTATGATCTGGTGATCTCGCTGGCCATTCTATCACTCCTCGCCGACCTATCCACCTGCCTGCGAACATTTCTTGTAGGTAGTTTCGATCATCTCTTGCGTAACGCCACTTGACTACTTCTCAGCCGGATGTAAAATTTTCCGCTGTTTCCATTCCTGTGGTCAAAAATATGTGTTCCTATTTAAAAAAGTAAATTAGACTTTGAAATGACATTCAAGGTCACGGTCAAGGTCAAATCTCGGGTCACGATTGAATAGCCAGGAAAAAAACCTGAGACTTTTGTCTGAAACTTTTTTCCCCAAAGTGCATTCCTCCACAGTTATTTAGCCGTTTCCATACTTTTGGATCACCCTTATAACCGTTTATATAAATGTACGCAAAATTTCTTATGAGAAACTAAGTCGATTTAAATGAAAATGATCTTGTCCGAGATTTCTGCTCGCAATCTGCTATCAGATTCTGTCAGCAGGTTCTGTTTGATTTCTGTTGCCAGTCTGTTTGCATAGAATGTTCTGTCGGCAGAACAGGAACAGAATGCGACATCAGTTGTGGTCTGCTAACATCTTCTGATCAAATCAGCTACCAGTTTGTCGATATCCTGCTAACATTTTGCTATCTGGGTATATATAGGTTCATCCCATACCTTTCTTCTTGCCTAGAGTTATCTGACTCTCCATGTAAAGCAAGGAAATAATAACTAACTTTGACTGTTAATAACTTTTTGACGAAGAACAATCGCCAACTAAAATCTGTCGGAATTCATTCAGGGTCATAATGTAGGTAGTAATTATTTAGTTCCGTGGATTCAGCTCCCCGATGACCTTGACCTTAACAACATATATCAACTAAATAATTATTACCTATAAATATTGTATAAATTGGATTAATTTTAGGTGGTGCCCTAAAAAGAAAAATCAAATATTAGAAAAGGACTACCCAGTGGTGTATATGTTGAAATCAAACTATTTATTTTTATTTCTTAATCATTAACAATTCATTTTATTGTATTAAATGAGACGTATAAGATTTCAAACGATGTAGAAAAGTAAGAAACACATGTTAAAAAAGAAATGGAAAATTCTCTAGGCCTATTTCTGTGGAAAGTACCTACGTTTTAAAAACCAATGTTGATAGTGTAATGTAAGGGAACTCAAATATTTAACGAGGTATCGATACGGATTCCCGTTGTCCGATCGAGCTAAAATTTAACAGAAATTATTTTTTTGCGGGTTGGAACCATTTTGAAGGGTGCCTAAAAAAAAAATTCAAAAAATCTTTTTTTTTTTTTTCAAGAATAAAGATGGACCATCCTAATATGTATATATATATATATATATATATATATATATATATATTCAAATTAGTTTATCCTACTGTGATGTTGCGAAAATACAAGATCTTTGTATATTTCAGATTAGTAAGTAATACAGATTAATAAGTAATACTCGATAAAAGAGAGTATGGGTGAAAAGACGTTCAACCTTACGTGGAACAATCATCTGGCGAATCTGTCGGGTTTGTTCGAAGCTCTTTACAAAAGTGGCTCCTTGACGGATGCGACTTTGGCTTGCCAGGATGGCATGTTAAGAGCCCACAGGTTGGTGCTAGCAGCGTGCAGCCCTTATTTCGAAAGGGTCTTTAAGGAACATTACGGAGAGCAACCCATTCTCATTTTAAAAGGTATACATTGATTATGCTTCGACAAAATATTGATAACGTTTTAAATGGATATTTAACCCTTGGACACCTTACTGGGTTACGGTAATCCAGTCCGTTTGAAAAAAACCGCGGCGTTTATAAACGGTCAGAAGTGTGGAGTGGGAGCAATGGGGAGAAAAACTTTCTTTGTATTGATGCATTAGATCCCGGGATAAAAGCAGAAGAAGACTTCAGGGTTACCGTAAACCATGTGTGGTGAAATCAAGTGGCGAAAATAGTGTGGTATTCAAGGGTTAAAGAAGGAGTTTGCACGTGTTTTTTTTTAATACTGGATATTTTATCTGAAAGAAAGAAAGAGAGATAGAGAAAGTGTTGCAAGTGTTGCATAATGTGAAATCTTTACATGAAAGTTGAATTTCATGAAAGTTTGCGATCCAGGGGCATAAGAAGGCAAGCTTCTATTCTTTTAATAAAAAAAGTTGTAACCTTCTGTAAAACTAGAGTCTTTTTTGGGAGCTTACCTATTATTTTTTCTGAGAGTACAACGGTATACATTACGCGAAAATAAATTTTGGGAATCATGCAAGAGGGAAAAAGAGAATTTTGTCCCTATATTTATTTCGAAATCTTTCTATTTTGACACGTCTATCACCTGTTTGAAAACTTACAATTTTAAGGAAATTAAAATGTATCCTATCTGACACACTGCATTTTTACCGCCTAGGTGTCGCTGTTGAGGAAATGGAATGCCTTTTGGATTTCATGTACAGAGGATCCATTGATGTAGCGGAGGAGCACCTTCCCTCGCTGATAAAAACTGCCACCGATTTGGAGATACGTGGTCTCTCTGGGGAATCGAAAAACCAAGAGAGTAACTGCAACCTCTATACCAGGGTTGAGACACGAATGCAACGATGCCATATTGAAACTAGAGTGCACACTACCGAATACATCAAAGAACCATCAATGATTCCTTTCCTACCAAAACACTTGACCGTCGATGCGATGGAGGATCACATTAAAGTGGAGGACATCGAAGTGGAAGATGATCCGATGGTGATCGACGGGCATGAGGACAGCTTCGATGAGTTTCCGCGATCCACGGAAACGCAAATTGTAAATTCAAAGGATATGCGATTTAACTTATTTTGAGATATTTAATCTGGATCTGTTGATCTTACTCTTCTCCGTCATGGGGATCCACATATGGGTACATATACATACACATGATGTAAGAAAACAAGGTGTACACTCACCGACTAAAATGTGGCAACAGATTTTTCTTCTATGGTTTTTGGAATGCAGTTTACTCATTGAGCAATTGGTCCTTGCTTACAGATCCGTAAGTAAGAACCAGTCGCTCAGTGAGCAGACTGCATTCCAAAACCTACTTAAAAGAAAATGTTGCAACCTTTTAATCGGTGAATGTACCATTCCCGAGGATGCGCAGTAAGAAAGTGAATTGTGGGTAAAATTTGATTGGCTATTCCAATATGCCAGCGCTATTATACGCAGGAAAGTGCATAGAGGGCAAAATTTGATTGGTTGTTTCCAGTATTGCTATCGTCATTGTGCGCAATGATACACCTTGTATTTTTACATCATGGATGTGTGGTCAGAACGTTTACAACACTTTTTTTTATGGGTTTCGGAACACAGAAATATTGCGAAACTCTGCATCTAGTGAGCTGCAACGAGAGTTAGGGTGAAATCATACGGTGCGTAATAGGACTGCGGAAAGCCGGAATAGAGAAAGCGTTATCGAAGCAATCAATCAGCGCTATTCCGCACTTTTTCATTACGCAAGTTTTGTGTGCTATGTTCACATGATGTGTCAAAGATGCATCCGGAAGAATATAATTTAAAAACTACTAACTTTTTATGTTAATAATTTGCTTATTAAAGTGAAATATAATATTCTCAAATTGTAAAAACAATTATCACTGTTGTAGTATTTAATACTTCATAATTAATATTTACAATCTTATAAGAATTTTTTTAACTGCTTTAACACATTTATTATTATTTTTCCGCATCATGTGAACAGGGCATGCTGAAGTTGCACGTAATGCGTTATTGTTTTTTGATCTTAATATCTATATTTACGCACTTAAATTTTGTCATTTTGCTTCATTCGTCTCAACGTTACGCGATTCCATCATTTTAATCAGCATTAAATTATTTTAACCTCTCAAAATACGACGGTTTATTACAAGGTGACTTTACGATTTAGGACACAATAACGTATTCTCTACCCTGCTGCAAATTCCTATGGAGAATTTTCCTATTGGTTTGCCTAACCATGGGTACCCATATGATAAATTCAACTGGTCCCCATGGGAGAAGGCCCCTATTCTTACTGTAAATTCCCATGGATTTTTTCATGGGTTCTTATAGAGGACTATAAGATTCTGTAGGAGCTTGTGTAGGTACCTGTAGTATTTACACAGCATGTATATGTAGGATAACATAAGAAATTTTTCTACAAGATTTTACATAGGAACCTATGGCATCAGTCCAGTAAAAAGAGGTTCCTATAAGGTGCCATTGGAAAAAGAATAATATGCACTTTGATGCAATCGGACCTAAATGATATACAGAATATCCCGTATTTGGGACTATTTTCGTGTGCAGATAAAGTAGACTAAACTGAGTCGAAAAATCCTGTAACATTTTGCAATTTTCACAATAATTAGTTTCTAAAGATTGTCGAATAAGCGGGTAAAATCGACGCATAAGACAACTTTAAGACATTTTTAAGAGTTTTTATGACATATTTTAAAGATGTTTTTCAAAGATATCTTAAAGTTGTCTCATACGTCGATTTTAAACATTCTGCTCATTGGGTAATAATTGCGAAAATTACAAAATGATAGAGGACCTTTCGGTTTCATCCGCTCTATCACACAAAAATAGTTCCAAATATTTTGAGATAATCTGTATAATCCTAAAATAGTCACAAATATTCTGAGATACCCTATATAGTGTTAGTACTGTACGACTGTCAAAGAATCCGCCACTGCACATTACCACGGATCGGTATTGACTTATCGATCTCGACGCGCGGATAACGCCACCTCACGTCTTGCTACTCTACCAGCATGTTTTTTTAACACACGTTACATTGCTTTTATATATTTGTTAAGCATCCTAATAAAACTAATTATTTTTTTAATAGTCCTGCTTGTTCGCACTGTCTATCTCGCCTTCTGCACTATCAGGTTACGGGCCCAGAAACGTTTGTAAGACGTGCGAAATACTACGAATCGAAATGAACCGTTTCAGTTACGCAGAGAGGTCAAACGACAGTTAGATTAAACGATACGCGTTGTTGTCGAAATCGAAGAAAACGGGTATGATCGGATTAGCACGTATCGAGGCTCTTAACAAGGAAAATTATGACATCTGGAAGCTGCAGATGCAGGCACTGCTCATAAAAAATGACGCATGGGTGTACGTAAGCGACGAACTCACAAGGCCAATTGTTGCGCAGGAAGCAACACAATGGAAGGTAAACGACAATAAAGCCAAATCGGACATTATTCTTTCTATAAGTCCTAGCGAGCTCAAGCAGATCAAAGGCTGCGAAATGTCACGGGACGTCTGGCTTAAGTTGGAAAGCATCTACCAGTCTAAAGAGCTAGCGCGGAAAGCCACGCTGCTAAAGCAGCTAACACTTCAACGCATGGAAAATGGCGACGTACATGAGCACTTGCGCAAATTTTTCGACGCAGTCGACAAGCTAAGTGAAATGGAGATAGCTATTAATCCCGATTTATTATCAGTTATGTTACTTCACAATTTGCCTACCTCATTTGAGAACTTTCGATATGCGATCGAATCCCGCGATGAACTACCGGCACCGGAAACGCTACGGATCAAAATTATTGAGGAAAATGACACGAGAACAAGTAACACTACTCACACAACTGCTCAAAACGCTCTATATGCCGGCAGAGGTGGAAAAAAAACGTGAAAACCGAAGTGAACCATACCAAAGAAGAACGACGCAAATGCACACGAAGAATTTAGATAACGTTGTCACCAATGTAGAACGATCGGACACAAGGCAGCGGACTGCGCGAAGCGGCAGGATGGAGGAAAAGAAGACGCGAAGAAACGAGACAATGTGAAGAAACTAGTCTTTGCGTATCCGTCCTTGCACGCGAAGAGGATTACGCTCTCCGTACAGGCAACGATAACAATGATCGTCAATAGTGCCTAGTAGTGGTGCGACTTCACATTTGAGCCACTCAATACGTGGCTTTATAGTGTTCAAAGACATTGACAACGCCAAGCTGAGTTTGGCCGATAACAGCTCGATTTGCATAACCGCAAAGGGTGAAGTCAAATTCAGTGCTGATGTCCTCGGCGAGATCAAAGGTTTTCATCTGACAAGTAAACCTACGGAGGTATCACTCACCGATTTTAATGAAACTTTGCATATTTGTAGAACTTTGAAAAATATTTGACACTTATTTTTTTTATCTGCAATGGTCCACTCTGAAGGGTGAAAACTACCCCTTGAAGGTAAGGGATAGATTTAACATATTAGGTGAAATAAGTTGAAAATTTTAAAAAGTAAAATGTGTTAGAGGGCTTTTGGCGTTGCTGAAACTGAATCTTATGTCAAAAGTATGAAATTCAAAATTTTATATCATTCCGCCATATTGGGCGGACCCAATATGGCGTCCATATACATTAAAATTTTTATTAGTTTTTATCACAATGAATAAATTTTAAGAATTCTTGTCATCACAGAATTAAAATTTCCGATTTTTGGGTCGATGATTTTAAATATGGTATTAAATACATAAAATTCAAAATGGCGGTCTCAATATGGCAGCTATATACGTTAAAATTTATAATTTTTGCAAAAAATGTATTGATACAAGGTCCTTATCTTTCAAGGTGCTTTTTTACAGTAAGTCCCCTTGTCTCTCACTTTTCGGGGTACAATTTTTTCTCAACTCTGTTGAACAAACGTAAACATCAGACCGCTCCTATCTACAGTGTACGTATGCGTCAGTGAAAACGAAAAACGTTTGTGTACGCCCGCCGCGTCTATTCATGGTTGCACGTGGTACGTAGAGAAAACTTTAAATTTCATATTTTTGACATAAGATTTAGTTTCAGCGACCCCAAAAACCCCTTAACCCATTTTACTTTTTAAAATTTTCAACTTTTTTTTATTTCATATTATACGAAATAAGTATCTGGACGACATATTGGATCGGCCATTTTGAATTTCATACTTTTGATATAAGATTCAGTTTCAGAGACCCCAAAAACTTCCTAACACATTTTACTTTTTAAAATTTTCAACTTAATTCACCTAATATGTTAAATATATCTCTTATTTTTAAGGGGTAGTTTTCACCCTTCAGAGTGGACCATTGCAGATAAAAGAAAATACGTGTCAAATATTTTTCAAAGTTCTACAAATATGCAAAGTTTCATTAAAATCGGTGAGTGACACCTCCGTAGGTTTACTTGTGAATAATGCTCTCCTCGTTCCAGGCCTGCGTACAAAACTGTTATCTGTTGGAAGAATCACCGACAAAGGTTTCGGTGTAACCTTTGACAGGGACAAGACCACCGTTCGTGACAGAGATGGTCAGACTGACCGCGCCAACCGTATTGATGGACTGTATTATGCACGTGAAACTTCGAGTGATTGTAACGATATTCAGGAAGCAGCATGCCATTCCAAGGAAATCGAATCCATTGAAACGTAGCATCGACGTCTGGGCTACTTAAACGAACGATATCTTATTGATGTCGTCAAGAATCAGTCGATCTGTGGCATCGAGCTTAAGCATCAATAAGAGAAATTAAATTGCGACGTCTGTGTCAAAGGGAAAATGACTAGAGCCCCTTTCGCCAAGGAAAGTGAGCGTGACACGCAACTGCTAGAGATTGTACACTCCGACGTACGTGGTCCCATGCGCGTCAAATCGAACAGATGAGCCAAGTTATTTTGTCACTTTTATTAACGACCGCTCCAAGTGGTGCGAAGTACGGTTCCTCAAAACGAAGAACGACGTATTGAGCACATTTAAAGAATACAAGGCTTCAGTGGAAAATCTGAAGAACAGGAAAATCAAATACCTCCAGTTGGATAATGAAACGGAATACAAGAACCACGAATT